AAATAATCTTGGCATGTGTGGACTGTGTTAAAATGTCGTCGGTGACTTTTATACACTTCAAATAGCCAGATGGTATATACCCCTCTAAACATCCATGACAATCAGATTTATACCCCATGGTCGTATTACAGAGGGAACACTCTTGGTTTGTTACACAACCACTTAAACACCCATCTATTGTGCACTCCGGCTTGCAACTATTACCAACCTCATCAAACGTGTATCCGTACTCACACCGACATAAAGACGAACAATGCGCGACACTGTCACATTCTTCATAAAACGGATTGCGTTCACCATCTCCACATACAGAACTTTTGGTATCTTCAAATGCATTGGTGATATAAAAAGAGAAAAAGAAGAGAAGAATTGGTCGCATTGAGTGTGTGTTATGTATTGAAGATCCCTGTTGGTCTTTATTGTTTTCGAACTTTTCGATGTTTTTAATATAAGTATCGAAATTCTTTTTATGTTTTCAGGCGTGGAAAATAACGGGAAAGTTCGCATTTTTGTTGGGTTGGTATTTATGGAAAAGCACGTTTGAAGTGCATTAATAATAGTCTTCTTGATACTGAGGCATTTTGAATTATAAAGTCATTTTTGAGAAGAATCCGACTTGTATTTATTTTTCGTTATATTTATAAAGAAATTTGACAAAAATAATTGAATGATTTTAATATTGCAGAATTAATTATATCTGCCCTTTTTACCGAAACGTATCTTGGTAAAAACTGATTTCAAATAACTCGTTTGCAAACATTTGCAAATAAGTTACAAGTTAACGGTTTTGATCAATAATCCCGTTTGTATTGATGTTTTTATTGAAATACGAAAATACAAAAAAATAATTTGGTATATATCTTTTCTATAAACACTCTGCTTAAAAACATGTTCCCAAACAAAATATGTCCTTCCCCACATTTTTTGAACGTTTTTCAAATAGTAAAAATAAAGTACTTTTATAACAGTTTTTAACATAAAAATAGTGTTGTATTTTTGGAAATAGATGAAAATGTTTGGTTAAAAATTGCTTGTGGAAATTTACCGAGTGTTTATATGGTAAAATCTTACAATAAAAAGACAACAATCAGCAAGTTCGTGATGTTGGTTATTACAAAAATAGATATAGTAAAGTATTTAGTATAATAACAACTAAATTAACAAATAAAAATAATATATCTCAGAATGCTACTCACCAAGAAAACTTTTAAAATGAAGATCAATGTAATATAAATACACTGTTTTCGATCTTTATTCTAATTATAGGTTTCATAGTTATAGTTTAAAATAGATTAATAATAATTTCTTATTAATGATGTATATTAAAAAAAGAAACATATTTTAAAAAAAAGTTCATATTAATAGCAATAAATGGACAACTTTATAACATGATACTCATAAATTATTGATGATTAGTAATCATTGATTACTAATCACAAACCAAAGAAATAACATGCTTAAACATATAAATTTTGATTATTTTGCTCTCACAAATAATTAAATGATTATTTAAAAAAATAAAATTGTAATTATTAAACTATTTTGTTTATGAAAGTAGTATTAGTGTTGTCTGTCTCTTGTTGTGGAGATTTTGAATACAATTGGTAATAATTATTCCATTAGAAAGTGAAGGTCATTTTAAAAAAATTAACAATAAAATAAATTGGTATTTTGAAAATAAATTTTTATAAAATATTTAATTTAACACACAAATAAGTGTTTACTTTTTGTTGTAATTTAATTAACACTTAAAATAACGCCCTTATTTTTGTTTTGGCCTGTTTTTATCGGGATATTAATCCAATTTATGATGATTTTCCTTTTTTAGCTGGTGTATTGTTAATGCACATAATATAAACTCTTAAAAAACGGAAATTAATTTAATAAACTCAAGATTTCCCGATTTTTAGACCACTTGAATTTTGTTCATTGTTATTTAAAGTGTTAACAAAAAATTGTAATTTGTTGTTTTTTATTTTAATTTTGTGGTAAATTCAAATGACAAAAAAATATGTTTACAAAAATAAAAAAAAAGAAAATTTTTTTAAAAAATTATTTTAATTATAATCGAATAATAAACTACTAAATATACCATAATATATACTATAATAACAATAGTTAATTGAATTGTATTTTTTAATAAAACAATGTATATAAATTTCAATTAAATAATAATTTATTGTAACTATTATTAATACTAAATTATATGAAATAAATTAATAGAATACTATTAACATAAAAATTAGTAAAATAACTAATAAAATAAACCAATGATCCAATAAAGAAGAATTAAATTGGACAATCAAAAAACAAAACGTCACTCCTTAAATAGAAATGTTTTTCTAATATTTATTAACTCGAAGATCCATAACAGATAACATGGCAAATGAAGCTCGTGTGATAAAAGCATACAACAACAACGTCGTCGACATTTCAAAAGCCAGTTTAGATACTGGTGCTCGAGCGATTCTCTTCCGTTATCATGGTGGGGAGAATCAACTCTTTTTTGTTGATCAAAGCATCGGGTGGATAATATCAGTCTTCTCGCGTTTAGCGCTAACTGCCGATGAACAAGGAAAAATCACACAACAGCGTTACTGTGGTCTATCCCGACAACAGTGGGTCTTTGAACCCGTCAATGACAAATTCATTATTCGTCTTTTTGAAAATCCAGTGCAATGCCTCACAGCCACAAATGAGTCTGAGATCTGCTTGTCGTCATACACAAACTCGCCAAATCAGCTATGGCTGATCCAGTGACGCCAACTAATTTACTTTTCATTGACACAATTTAACTATTCACAAATAGTACTTTTATTATAAATGAACTATATGTACCACGAGACTGCAAAACCATATAAAAATGAATCATAATGCGCAGAAAAGAAAGAATATTACACCTTTTTATACCCGACGGGGACGTAGTACTTGTCCCAAGCAGTTTTATTGCTCTCATATTCCTTACTAATGTTCTTAATAGTAAGTATTAACTCCTTAGCAGTAGGTCGAGCACTTGGATCTTGTGCGACGCAGTCCGTATACATTTTATAGATCGATGGAGGAACATAATTCCTACACGCTTCCGTACAACACTTTTCACTTAAAGTGGGCCGTTTGCCTGTACTCAGCAAATTGAAGATGGCAAAGTCATTAGCGGCTGGGATGTTATATTCAGTGAACCATGGCTTAGTATATGCCCCAAAGACTACTCTTCGAAAGATCTCCCAGAAGACGATGCCAAGGGAATAGATATCACTTTTAGTGGTATAGACCCCCCCTTGGGAATGTTCTGAAGGCACAATTTCGGGACAACAATATGGAATAGTCCCACTGATCTCTTTTAAATCAGTTTCTTGATTCTCTGGAGTATCAAAACGACTCATCCCAAAATCACTGATTTTCAAGACGTATTTTGCAGTCACCAAAACATTCAACGACTTAAAATCGCGATGTAAAATACTCGGCATATTTTCATGTAAAATGTCCAAGCCGGTACACATCTGTTCACAGAAATTGAGTGCTGTAGAAAAGTCAATTTGCTGATTTGGGTCATTCATCACATCAAATAAAGAAAAATGAGCGCAGAACTCCATCACTAACGAGACGTTTTGTTCCAACACAATTCCAAAGAACTTCACAATGTTCTTATGTGAGACACTCTTCTGAATCTCAAATTCATGCGAAAATTCAGAACTCTCTGATAAATCGACGCCTTCATCCATTATCTTCACCGCAACATCATATTCAGCACATCCACCTATTCCTCCATCTTTCTTATATATCCCTCGATATACACTACACGTCGATCCTGTTCCTACTTTATTCGAACGAGATGGCTTCGTCTCCCCAGTAAACTCTATACTAGCAGGATCTATCGTCCACGACCCTACACTTGTCGGTAATAATGAAAGACGCTTACAATTTAATAAACTCTTGCGATCACCCGTTGAAGCCATTAAAGCTACCGCACGCATCTCACTCTCACTCTGCTCAATCACATTAAACTCTTTGATCGACTTCGTTAAGATCTGAATGTCGTCCTTTGTCTCCGCGATCGCCTCGAAGACTTCCGCCATTTCCTTGTCGTTGAGACTCTTCAATAACGCCGGGTGGACCTCCTGTTGTAAGAACTTCAGTGCATATTTCTGTGCAAATTCGACTGAAATGGAGGAGAGCCATTGCAGCAAATTGTGGACTTCATAGAACTTATTCAGAACTACAAAATTCTTCTTCCGCTGAGCTAATTGTAACGGCGTCTCCCCTTCCGCATTGACCGCATAGATGTCCGCACCTCCTTTAACTAGTGTATTCACTAAATCAACTCGACTCATATGTGCGACTAAATGAAGAGCCGTGTTTTGTTTGTTATTTCGCGCATTCACATCAGCGCCATGATCTATCAGAAATTGGACAATCAAACCACGTAACTTCTCATTTCGCACCGTCTTCATTAAAGGAGTTTCCATCCCTTTATTCTTCGCATCGATTTTAGTCCCTAAGTCAACAAATCGTTGTAAGACAGTCTTGTACGACTGCACATTTTGAAAACGATTACAAAAGATATGAAGCGGTGTTTGATTGTCGGTCGTAGTCGTATTCACATCAATGTTGGGGACTTCTAATAAAGCTAAGAGAGGTGACGCATCCATCATAAATTCATAACAAATGTAATGTAATATGGACATCCCAACTTCATCCTTCTTATTCACATCTACATTAAGACGGACAGCGGTCTTTAATAATTCTAAAAATACTGTCGGGTTGTGAGTCTCTATGGGAACATATAAAGGGTTGTCCGATTTCCGTTTGTAATTCTCAAACATCTTTTTGGTCATCCGCTTCTTCGCCAAAAACACTTTCACCTTCTCAACATCCCCCTCGTTGATCACTTCAAGCAACTTCTCACTCGTCTTTTTAAACATGATTAAAAAGTTCTTCACACACTTTATGCGCCGTTTTGACTCCCTTTCGGATTGGCTCGACATGTTTTTCAGCTATTTTTGATTTTAATGAAAGTTTTTTTCGTATTCTGCTTTTTTTTTGAATTTGGATTGAGTTGGGTGTATTATTGATATTATAATTGTGAGAGTAATTAACTTTGGTTTTATTTGAATTTTTGAACAGACGACCTTCGGGGTTTTCCTGTTTTAAAATTACTTGAAAGAAATGGTTTTTTTGTTATGTTTTTTTTTCGTGTTTTTTCGGGATTCATCAAAAAAAATCAAAAAATATTCTCAAAATTTAACGAAGATTTTTTAAAGTTTCTAGTTCCATTGTCATAATAACATTTTCTATTTCATAATATATTTAACTATTTTTGTTTGTTTTTTTGTTTTATTAGTTTATATTTATTATTATTTATAGTATAACGATGGTAATATATTATTAAAAATGCCAACATATTTAATTGGTTCGTAATAGCATTTTTGATGTACTAAAAATCAAGGATATTTTAGATAAAAAATAAAACAATTTATATCTTCTCAATTTCAGATTATTGTATCACACATCACAGCTTTATTGTATCGTTTAAATTTAATTTAATTAATACCTTATGCTTTAAAATTATGCAAACATACCTATTCACTTAAGAAAGCATCATGTGTCAATGTTCTTTGAAACGACCACATTCATTCAATTTAAATAACAGAAAACAAATATTTAAGCGGAAAATGAATTTATGTATTCCAATTTGACACGTTCAATTTAAGACGTAAAGTTAAAGTAATAATCGACAATAGTTTTTGTGTAAATTTTAATAATCTTGGACTTATCTACATACAACAAGTACAATTAAGCTACTGACAATCCTATGAGTGTGTCGCGTGTTTTGAACTTGTCGTTATCGAACACAACAGCAGTCACTGCGGACAGCGAAGCAGTTAAAAGGCAAGAATGGTCTCTGCATCAACGTATTGCGTTTCAAATTTCATAAAAATAGCGTGCAACAAAAAAACAAGTGCATACACAACACATTTTACAAACTCTGCTGCACCCAAGAAAAATCCAAAAGAATCAAGTGGCGCGATGTTTTGAATATAAAACGCTGTCGTGGCGTTAAGGACAACCCAACAAAATACAGTGACCATTCTCCTACATGGAAATACAATCGAATTAACCACGTCATTTGCGTTGTACATTTCCAAAATAACTGGCACGTTCACTGAGAACGAAAGAATGACGAAATTTACGATGTACAAATAGCTTGGTGATACCCACTTCGATATTCCCGCGACGACACTGGTGGTGATTAACACGATTGTGTACGTCACCAATAATGAAACAGCTTCTACTGTACCATTTGAAGTGTCCTGTAGTGTCGGGGACATCTTTAAACTACAAAAAGATAGTGAAGCGACACTGAGTGCAAGGATTATGAACGTCTTGTGTATTTCTTGTGGCAGCGTGATTGTCTGCTTGAATGCGTTTTTTGTTTCAGTCCAAATGAACGTGAGAATTTCACGCTCTTCTGTGCTCTCGTTCCGCAAATCCTCGCAAAAAATGAGAAGTGGAAGAACGAAGATAGTGGAAAATATTGAGAACAGAACCAAAAAAAGTATTTTTGAGTTCTCCACGAAAACGAAAATGGAAAGCCCAACAACCAAAGCAAATACTCGTCCAGCTTCATACAAAAGTTGAGAAGCTATATGTAATTTAGCAGAAGGTATATAATCTAGTAACATTGCCCGACTGATTACTTTTAAAGAGGGCGTTGTAACAGTGATAAGCTCTAATCCATAAAGTGGGACTAAATAATTTGGTGATTTATTAGAATTTGTTTTGTTTAAATTAATCACAAACCCACACATTGTCAAAAAAATGAGATTGAAAAATGTCAGAACGAATATAACCGATTTCCGCTTTGGAAAGTTGGGAATGGAGTCCGAAAAGTGCCCGATGAGTGGCGGAAAGAGTGAAGATAAAAGGAAACAAAATACAAAACCAAATTCAAACGTGTGGCTTTCGTTTGTCGGGTGGGAAGAAAAAATCAACAATAAACTAATTTGCACAGAGTCCACCGTCCCTAAGTAAAAATTATACATAGAGATTACAAGAGTTTTTAAAAGATATACATTCATCCCACTAATAATGGTATTTTTTTTTCGTTTTAATTTTTTTTTAGTTTTTTATTTAAGAAAAATCACAAGAAAATTTTAAAATATATTTAAACGTTATTATGTAATATTTCGGGATTTTATTATAATTTTTTTCGCAATATCATAATTTTATTAATATAATAATTATTAATTTATAATTAAATTATTTTAAATACATAATAAATAATGTATTATAATTTTTAAAATAATTCCCCTTTAGATTTTTATTTAATGCAAGTTAGAAAACTAAAACAAATTTTGAACAAAAAAAATCTCAAAAGTATATTTTCAAAACAGAGTAATTTGTCAAAACAAAAGTAAATTTAAGGCAATAAAAAAGGGGAAGTTTAACTTACGATTGGGCGAATGGGTTCATGGCTTTCCTCACTCTTTTTCCGCAAAGAGGCTCGTGTTGTGATGATTGGCCTCGATAACGCCGGAAAGACAACTATCATGTACCAACTGAAGTTAAAAGAGATGGTGAAGACCGTCCCAACAATTGGTTTCAACCTGGAGCGCATCAACATCGGTCGGACCATTTTTGAAATCAGAGACTTGGGTGGCCAAAGCAAAATCCGTACGTTATGGCGCCATTATTACAATGAAATCGATGCAGTTGTATTTGTCGTCGATTTGACCGATTTTGAAAGACTACCTGAGGCACAAACCGAGTTTCAAAAAGTCACACAAAACAAAAACCTTGGAAAGACTGTGTTGTTGGTGTTGGGTAACAAGATGGACGACACAAAAGCAATAGACAAACGATCACTTGAAAATGTGCTTAACGTACAAAACGTAAAACAAAAAGTCGAGGTTCGACTCGTCTCTGCTCGATTCAACAAGGGTATTTACCCAGCGTTTGAGTGGCTTTCACAGAACCTTTGATGGTTTGTATTGTATAAGCAATTTATTATTTGTATTATTATTGAATAGCTTGTAATGCAATCAAATAGAATCACTGAATTAAGCGTCTTTAGAGACACCAACCATATTCAATTCGTCTGGGACAAGAGATGCACCAAATGGATCGGCGTGAGTTGCGTTTGTCGAGTTTCTTCTTCTTTTGAAATACCAGACCACCAAGAGGATGATGATCAACACGATGATTCCAATGATAAACATTATAACCAACAACGGCACAAATGCCGAGCTTGTGTCTCCTTTGATCACACATATTCCATCGACCAAAACGTAATTTTTGGAAGCGTCACAAATGCACTCGCCAACGGTGTTTCTGATTTGATTAGCCAGACAAGTGACAACACAGTCGTTGTTCAATAACTCATATCCACTCTTACACACACACTTCCCTTCGGAATTAAACTCAAAGTTTGCTTCACAGTTCTTCGTGCAAATGCTGTTAAAAAGCGTGTACCCATCGACGCACTGACACTTGTCCGTTTGAGTGTTATACACTTCATTTTCTTTACATTTAGAAACGCATTTCTCGTTGTCTCTGATGTATCCAACTTTACATTCACACGTGTCAGAAGTCAAGTTGTATACCTCATTCTCCCCACACGTCTTCTCACACTTCTCATTGACTGAGACATATCCATTGTCACACTCACAATGAGCCGAAGTTGTGTTGTACGTAGCATGAGCCGTACATTGAGGAACACACTTGTCGCCGACTTTCTGATATCCCGTCTTGCAACGACACTCGTTGTCTACAAACTCTTCGTTGTCGCCACATGTTTTGGCACAAGTCATCGAAATTACAAAGGCATTTCCTTCAGTTTCTTTACACCCACATACCGCTAAAACTAATGAAGTTTCTAACAAATTGGTGCAGGTGTTTTCTGTGTAAGTCAATCGAATAACATTATTGTCTTTAGTGATAAATTTGTAATAGCCCGTAATGCCCGTTGTGCATTCCGTTGGATAATTCTGAATGACGGATTTTGTATTCGTCGAGTTACACGTTTCTAAGACGACACCGAAGATAGAGGATGGGGTGAATGTTTCTTGGACGTCTCCATTTTTAATAGCAAATGTTGTTGAATTTCCGTCTGTACATTCAGATGTTGTGTGTGTGCTTTTGACCATTTGTTGATCGTTTAAGTGATATTTGACATACATACTGTTGTATAAGAATAAACATTGATCTAATTCATACACTTCTTGGTATTGTTTTTCTATTTGGTGGATATAGTAAGACGCTTGAGATAATAAAACAAAGAAACAAAGAAGAATTACCATCGCGTTCTATTCTTTTAAGTTTTTAGTAAAGAAATTTGTAAACCTCTTCAATATAACTTTTGTTATGTTTTTGTTTATTGTGACATATTAATGAATAGATTTTTTATGTGTCTTGAGAAAGTAAATATAATAAATATAGTTTTTTATTAATAT